AGGCTGGACTGAGAGTCTGTGTGTAGATCAGGCTGACTGTATTCGTGCGGTGCTGCCACCTCAGTCCTCCTCAGGTGTAATGGACACTGTGAACATTTGTGGTTTAGTAAAGGTCTCATCTGTCCCAGGCAGACTGCTCTGTAAGCAAAGAAGACCGTGAGCAGGATCCTCTTCTTGTTTAACTCCCCAATGCCGAATTTCTGGATCTGAACCACTCTGCCCTGTTAAGTAGGAACAGGTCCAGGCCAGTGTAGGGAGTTCCAGGCAGAGTGAGATGCCATCTCACAAAGAACACGCACATTCTGAATATTTGAAATCTGAGATATGGACACAGGAGTTGTGAAATCAGGATCTGGCAGTATCCTGTGTTTTCTTACGACTGTGGAGAACAGAGGCAGGAATGGGAGCTTGCTGGCCTGCTATCAGTGAGACACCTGATTTGAACATTAAGGTGGCAGCCCTTGGTAGTGGAGCACCCCTTTAAACCCAGGATTCGGGGTGGAGTCAAGGTGATCTCTGTGAGTTCTCATCTACAGCCTGGTTCTTGTACAGTTCTTGTACGCCAGGAGTACACAGAGAAACCTTGTCTGAAGAAATAAACAAAATAATTAAGTTGTAAAAGGTTACAGAGCGAGTTCTTGTACGCCAGGTGTACACAGAGAAACCTTGTCTGAAGAAATAAACAAAATAATTAAGTTGTAAAAGCACTGGATGAATATTTCTGGTCTACAAGTGTGCTCAAAGGGTGAGGACAGACAGACAGACAGACAAGTACACACACACATACATCCCATGTGGTCATGGATGTGTCATGCAAACACACACATTGACTCTTAACCTAAACACTGACATAAATATCAGTCCTCTCAAATGAGGGATCCTTTCGTTTTTGCTCTCCTCTTACATAGACACAGGTTTTCTGTATGTAGTACAGGCGGCCAAGGACTGGGAACCCCCCTACCCTCAACCAGCTGAGTGTTTGAGCTACAGGTGTGCACCTAATCTTAGTGGGTTTTGTGGTTTTGTTTTTAAATGATGTGTGTAACTGTTGATATCCTTAAAATTTTAATCTTTCTGGCTCCATGTGCCAAATGTAGGGATTCCCGGAATTCTCTAACAAGCCTTGTTTATTTTGTCCTGGGGACCAAACCCAGGGCTTCCTACATGATGGGCATGAGGTGTCCCAGCTGAGTCACACCTGTATCTCAGCCTAGTCTGGGATTCAATATGTAGCTGAGGAAAACCTGGAGTTCTGGATCATCCCTATGGAATTATAGATCTGTACCACCGACCCTGCATTTTATCCTTTTTTCTTTAGCTTTTCTTCATGACAAGTCTTTCTACTCAGAGTCTTTTGAAGTATCACAAACATGAGTTGCAGCAGGAAGCCACTCTTCTTCTGAGGCTGGTGAGCTGTGACCTGGATGGGAGGGAGGTAAAGGAGGCAGTCCACATCCCATTCCATGCTACCTTGAGAAAACTCAGGTCAGTGTTCAGTAGCCCAGGACTGTCACCTGTATAGCTAGCTATCTTTGAAGGCCTGTTGTGAGTATCAGCCCTCAGGTTGGTCTCATCTAACTCTCTATGCAGCTCCGTGGGACAGCAGATAGCTATAGCTAGCTATCTTTGAAGGCCTGTTGTGAGTAGCAGCCCTCAGGTTGGTCTCATCTAACTCTCTATGCAGCTCCGTGGGACAGATGGAAGGCAGAAGCCTCACAGTGCATGTCCACATCTGCAGCTGATGACCCTAGGAAGATGGAGCCTCACCCCCACAGTTTGAAGGTTTAGTCTCCTCACCCATGGGGTCTCACTCTCTCACATTTGCCCTTTATAGACACTTTGTGGATTTTTCTTAAAACTGAATGCCAGAGCCAGGGTGAAGGTGTATGCCAGTAATCCCAGGACTCTGGAGGCTTAGATTGGAGAGTAGCCATAGACTCAAGGCCATTCTGGGTTATATAAGGAGCAGTAATCTAGCTTGGTTGCAGTGTGAGATCTCTCTCTTTAAAACTGAGAGTGAACAGAAGGACTAGTGTCGGTGTGTCCATCGTGCACATAGGTTCTTCCTGGGTTCTTGCCCAGCACAAAATAAAACCAGGTGGAGCTTGCCTGGTATTGGGGTTGGAGACAAGAGGGTCAGGCAGTCAAGGTATGTTCCAACACAAAGATTGAGGCCAGTGTGGGAGGAATGACACTATTTTAAATAAAAAATCCCTACTCTCAAATCTTAATGCCCATATCTCAGAAAACAATGACATGGCATCCCATCACAACCGCATATTCCTTGTGAATCCGAATGTCTTTCAAATGGAGAGATGAAAACTGAGCATGCAGATGCGCCGTGAATATTTTGTGTGACTCACGTCAGGAATTGGCCTGAGCATTGAGTTCATCCCCTGTGCACTGCACTAAGGAGCTTTCAGTAAGTATTGATCATGTGAGAGGGTGGGTTGGAGGCATGGGGAACCCAGCCCGTGCCAGTAAGTCAGAATGCATCTGGCCCTTGAAGCTGTCTGTGAGACTCTCTGATCTTGTGCTACCCCCTTGTGGTCCTTCTATACCAGCTCCGTGTCATTAGTGCACCTGAT